AAGTAGTAGAAAATTTTGCAATATTCGTTGATTTCCTTTTTCCTATCAAAACAAAGATATTAAACATGATTCTAGATTTCCCTGGTTATATCATTTCAAAATAATTCACATTAAAACCATGAAATGCAATTTGGGCATATTAAATAACGGTGTTATACAAGGTTTTATTAATATTTCAATATCTACCTCTCATAATTCTGGTAATTTGTTGTTCCACTAATTCGAATGTAGCCCAAATTTGCATAAAGTAGAATTTTTTCTCATTATTGTTGGTATTAATATCTCAATTTTTTGCTAAATGAGGAACTGACGAAAATTGAAACCTGCTTTAATGGTCGATTTTGAGTTAATACTCTTTACGAGGCATAATTAATTTAAGCTTTCATTCAAACTCTGCTATTTTGAAAGTTTCTGTTGTGTAATACCTTTCAAAATCGTCTGTTTACTCAAACATTGAAAAGGTAGGATAAATCATTATAGCTAATCATACTTGATTAAACAATTTGGTCAATTGAAAAAAGCTCCCTAGGTGGGCATTGTCACCAATCAGAGATGTACCACACAACTATAATCAATAAGGTGTACTTCAATTGATACGTTTTTTAAGAAAGTCCTGCAAGCTTTTAGGGTAAAGCATTATTTTAATGTGCACAAAGATAAAGTTTATTATGATACTGTAACTGAATTCCACGCTTAAGTCTGTAAAAAGAAGAGTAAAAGTTGTCTTTCTGTCATGTGTATTAATTGTCCTTAAAATATTATAAATAAGTTAAGAGCGTTCAACGTAATTAGTAGTAGGCTTTTACTCTGTATCCCACATTAAATTTACCTCTTCATTCATTTGCATAAACACATATGAAACGATAAATTTAAAATCGCCACTGGTCACCTGAAGATAAATCAAAATATGCATTTATCTTTTGATCATTTAAAGCAAAAATAGGGGACATTTAGCATGTACTAAATCTAGTGAATGTAAAAATTTTGGAGCATATATTATTGCTTCCTGTCTAAGTCCTATTATTGATTAATAGATGCAAAAAATAGATTTTATCGTTCATCAGCTTACGCTTCTGCAACGAAATATGATTAATGGAACTTTCGGAAAATTAATTTTTTTATTTATTTTAAATGGCAGGCTTTATGATATTTATCATTAGCCCTTAAACTTTGACTTCAGCTTCCCCAAGGATGAGGGGTACATATATAGCAGTTAATTAATAGCAGTTCATTACACCCAAGGATGAGGGGTACATATATAGCAGTTAATTAATAGCAGTTCATTAGTTGTCTACTTGCTTCCCAGTATTTCTGGCTTTCCGTCGTTGCCTTTAGGGCTGGACACCGAATCAGGTGGGTCTTCTCCATTTCCTCCTGTAGGTTACATAGAGGGAATGTGGGTTGAGTGTGTACTCCCAATCTGTGAAGGTGTTTTGCCAAGCAATCGTGTCCGGTACGTAGTCTAAACTCAGCAACGGCTTCGATTCTTGGCCAGTTGGGTATGTCGGAGAATGCCACTGTCCACTATTTCTCCTTTGTTTGAGCTTTGCGTTCGTTGCACCTTATTTTCGGAACATTAAACTGCTGTCCAAATAAATCGAAATAGCCTTACACCATATCCCAAAACAGTTTTATTACTCGTCAGTGTGTCTATAGTTGAAATGCGAAAATGTGAATGTGAACTCTCATGCACATCTAATTTAATGTGTTAAATCGTAATTTTAACAGAAATTTGGCCTATATTTTTGATAGGTTAGTAAGATCGGTTCATGAAAAGTGTGGGGAGCATATTGATTTAAAACTCAAAGCGCGCTTTTAAATTAAGGATAGGGTGCAATGAAAAAGTCGTTGATAATCCATAACTAAGAGAAGTTAAGAACTAAGAAACTTAATGACTTAAATAGTTGAAAAGGAGCTATAACTCTTCCAAGGCCTTACAAATACAATCCCAGACCAAGGCATAGAAGATAGAGGGCTTTGTTAAGTGAGTGGAGGAGGAGGATTTGAGGGAGGGGGGAAGCCGCTTATGTTCTTGCAGATATGCACAAAAGAGCTTGCAGTCTAATGTTTCTTTTTTTTACATCTGGAAGCAGGTAGATATGAGGGGAATAGGGGAATGTGTTGGACAAGACTTGATGCCAGTTACATTCTCGGAGCAGTGCAAAAGTTCAGCCTGTACGAATTTACTGAGTGTTTTTTGTTGACCTTGTGCGTCAAGGTTATTTTGGCCCATATAAAGGAATGTCAGCCACACAGATGAACTGATTTAAATGGTAATAGACGAGAAAATTGTTATCTAATCATAAATAATCATGACCTGCAATGTGAATAAAAATATAATACATTAAATTACCTTGCCAAAATGCACACTCAAAATCTCAAATCATTCTACTCCAACAACAATCCGAAGGTGCCTCGTTTTACCGTTTTGCGGACTCAACCCAAGTTCCCTTCCCTGCTATTATACCATAAATAAGACATATAACTGTCAACCTAAGGTCTTATTTGGTAAGGATTGCTTTTATTTCCGCAATAACAATGTTACAATAAAAATTCTTTATTGGGAACCAAGTTACCTTACCATGAAAATAGCATAATCCATGTAATTATCCATAAAACAGTCGTAAATTAAACCCAAGTAAATACCAAAATAAGTAAATAATAAATGTGGATGTTCAATATACATTATCCTTATTTTGAAATAGAGGCGAGATGTATTTTCATTTAAGCAAATACGTGGCACAATTCCTTCTATTCCAACAATAAGTACACATATCGCGTCTATAAAGTTAAAAAATTCCCTTTAAAATATATGCGTTGTGTTAAGAAAATAACATGGATGCCATTGCTTAAACTTGGTTTGATTTAGTTTTAGGTTAATTTCATTAGAAATTTTAAAATTGTTGGAACGTGAATTGAATCTAACGCCTAATAGAGGAATCCGACTGAATTACACCTTTGAAGAGTTAAATCGTTTTTGGATAAATATGTAAATAACAAGATCTGCTTAAACTATATTTGATTAGTGGTCAATTGTGAGTGGTTCGTATCATTTTCTGATTGTCATAAGATTTATTTTGTTTTCATTTCTTTACTAACAGATTCTTTTAATTTCCTTAATAATACTAAAAAGACTAAAATGCATTTTTTTGAACATTATGGAAAAAAATTGCCTTCCAAATGGTTTAGATCCATATAGAGAACATTGTGCTCCATAAGGTGTCTTAAGATTAGTATCTAAATAGACCACTCTAATTCACTAACGACCCCTACTGTTCAAGATATGAGAAAAATGTTCTTTAAAAATTTATTGATTTCCTCTTACAAATTTGTAAAGACACACACACACACACATACGCACGCACGCGTTTACGGATACTTCTAAAGGCCAGATTCAATGAATGCATCACTTCTACGCAAAGCGATTAGGTTGTGCTTCCGGTAACTGACCTCTAAACTTCCCTCTACAATACATCACAATCGGTTTTCTTCATTTTCACTGATCAATCTGCTAATTTTACAGTTTAACGCTCTGTGAATAAAGAAATTAAGATGTAGATGCCTCGAGAAGAAACGGATAAATTGATCTCGTCTATTTGATGACAGACAGCGCATTTTTATTGGACATATACCAATGTTAGTGCGGTATCCGTGGCAAGTGTTTTCTTTGTCTGAAATTCATATATCTGGACATCCTAATATCATGTGGGATAGCAAATTAAGCCAACGTAGAAGTCCTCCAATGCTTTTTATTAGCGCAGAAGTGTCCCTCCTTCGTGAGTACTTCAAATACCGACAATTAGTCTTTGTTTGGCACCCCTCCATATTTGACGCAATAGGATGCACAACTTGAATGAAGCCTTATTTTATTCACTAGCAATACCTTTTTCCAAGCGCTTTTTTATGCTAAAGGAAAGCGTTTAAAAGAATGTATCAATCTGTCAATTCAATATTTAGTGGGCGAATGGAGGCTGAAGGGGGGGGGGGGGGGGG